GTTGAGTTTTGTTTCTTTGTATTCAATGTTTTGACTATTTCACACCTTGTGGGACATAACTAATTTGTGTCTTGGTGATTCTCTATTAATAATCTTGTTTTTTTAATAAATTGTGGCTCATATATATAAAAAAAAAACATTTATCAAATCTCATTAAGTTTCTTTGATTTTGATTATATTAAATCCCTGTGACAATTCTGACCATGACTAAGCTGCAAACAAAGCAGAGAGCAGAGTTTGCCGCTCCTCAGACTGAAGGAGTCTTCTGGACAAAAGATGGAACGTTTCAACAATCTGCCCAGAGGCCCTGACTCAGCCTTGCTAGATTTATCTACCTAACCCAAACCCTGGATTATTGAGCATGCATCCACTCAAGGTGATTCATATTATTTGCATCACGTGTTACATGAGGTGGAACGAAATTGTGTACTCAGTATCACAGATACATCCAAAAATAACAAAAACAAAGTACAAGTATTTAAGATCTAGATATGTATGTGTAGCTGCTCTTTGAATTGAGAAAGCTCCTCGCATGAGAAGCGAAACGTCTTCTGTTACAAATAAAGTCCAGTTGTTTTGTCTTGAACCTAAAAAAGTACATCTGGTCCTCTGGACATAAAAAAAAAACAATTGTAGAAATGTTTCGTCTTTCATCCAAAAGACTTCTCCAGTCTGAGGTGCTGTATTCAGCTCAGTCTTATAAATGGCACCTTCTCAGAGTGGATCAACCAGTTTGCTGCTGACAACATAAACCAGCTGATCACATGGTCTGAGTGACAGGAGGCTGAGTGATACTAGCAATCACAGCATTGTAAGAGGGGGACAGTTGAGCATTGAGGCCTCCACCCCTGTTTAATGATGGACGGTTTCTTTTCACAAAGATTTTGTTTTTGGCTGAATACAGCACCTCAGACTAAGGAAGTCTTTTGGATGAGAGACGAAACGTTTCTACATATTTTTTTTTTTTGCATTGTTTTGTTTTTTTGAATGTCCAGAGAACCAGATTAACGTTTTTAGGTAATTCTAAATGTTATCAAAAGCTTGTCAGAAAGAGATGTTCAAGTGTAGTTGTATTTTAGGCAAAGTCTGACTGAAACTGGGTAAAAGATACATTTAAACAAAACTACAAAAACTCAGATTATGAATTCCATACGCTTTTATATTATTTTACATGCATTTGCACATAGAGACAAGAGCAAAAAATAAAAATAAATAAGAGGTTACAATGCTTTTACATGTCCAGTCCAGTAGATGGCAGTATGCAACCCCATAATTTGCCACAACGAAGAACCTTCGACATGTTTGCTGACCGTTGAAAAAAACCCACGAAGAAGAAGAAGAACGTTGGGAAACTCGACGCTTCACTGAATTTAACCGAAGCCGGACCCATTTGCAGTGTGTTCCTCTGCACTTTCGATTTTGTTCCAGCATTTGTCCGTTGTGTAAGTTCGGCCATTGTTCAATAGGCTTTTTTATAAAAATATGATGAAAAAAGTTGCATTCGAGGCCTAACTGCGACGAACATCGCACGAGCTAAGGCTAAAGCGGACAGCTATCGGGCCTTATAGCCATAAAGCTAACGTTAGCTTAGCGCATGCAACCGTCGGCCAAGTCGTCGACGATGTTTGCTATTAACAGCTATGATTTCACGATAAATGTGGCATTTTGAGTACAGCTTGACAGTAATTTTAAACCACATGTTTTGTTTTAATTATAGTTTTGATTACTAGCTAAATGGTTTTATTGACATCCCACGAGGACACTCGGGTTTTTTCTGCTTTTAACTTTACAGTGAAAGTTTACGTAAGGGTACACGTTTAAAGACGTTTTATTTAGTTATTTAACCTTTATTTATACAGGTAGTCTCATTGAGTCATGAGGACTCGTTTAAGAGGGACCTGGTTTAGACAAGACAGTATATAGAGTACATACGATAAACAACAATAGTAAGCAATTAAAATATGTGGGCACTTGACGAGCGTGGTATAAATTATCATTATTAAATCGTGATATGCGGAGTTCAGTGACGATTATGGATTCCTCTGGTTCAAACGGTGCTGAAATGGTTTGCATGAACGTTCTCAATTCTTTGTTGGTAACCATGTTATGCGATTTTTTGGGGGAGCATACAGTTAGACATTCTATTTTCTTGACTATGCAGTAGTTGCTGCAATTTTAAATGCAAACCTTGCAGAGCACATCTGTAATTCAGCTTTGTTATCAAAAAGGAGAAAAGCGTTCTTGTCACATCTGTAATTACATCTGAGGTGCTTGTCAGATCTGGCATGCAAATAACCTGGGAGGTTGGGTAAGTTTGGAAACATTGGCAGAACCAGTGGATTGGCCTCCTTTTTTCATCAGAAATGTTGGTATACCTTATGGAACAGTTTACCTGGTCAAAACTGGGAGGAAAGCTGTCCTGCAAAATGTGCTAACCACAAACAGAGATTTTACACTGTGGAACTCATCCTTAGAGGTGTGTGATATTGTCATCAGTGATTGTGAAAGTGTGGATGAAGATGACTTGGTTTTTGATGATGGTCATTTGTTCAAATTGAGCCTTCATTGTGATAGGTTAATAACCTGCTGCTGGGTTTGTGTTGGCATAATATCCTGATGCATGCTCAATAATCCAGGTAGAAAAATATAATAAAAGTTCAATCTGGTTCTTTGGACATTCAAAAAACAAGACAAAGCAACAAAAACAAAAAAAATTAGATATGTTTCGTCTTTCATCCAAAAGACTTCTTCAGTCTGAGGTTCTGTATTCAGCTCAGTCTCTTAAATAGCACCTTCTCAGAGTGGATCAACCAGTTTGCTGCTGACAACCAAAACCAGCTGCTCACATGGTCAAGAAGGACCATCAGCCTAACAATGGATCATTAACACACTGATGGCTGTTTAATATTCACAGGGGATTGAGGATACTAGCAATAACAGCATTGCTAAGCTTCCAGTATACTGCCGCGTACGTCTGTTCACGCGTACGTACGCATGTACTGTATGCAGAGGGTTCAGACTTCGTACTCCAGCGTACACCCTGAGCAGTTGCCGAGCAGCTTCACAGACAAGTGGCGTTTACCTTTGGGACAAATTGAGGTCGCCGATTGGACTTTTGCTGACACGCCTACTGGATTGATTGACATGTCGGGGGGGGGGGGGGAGTGCTGGCAGCCTCAGCCACAGCGGTGTTCTGTGTTTATATGTTGTTAATAAAAAGATCTAAAAAAACGGAGCACTGGCTTTGCGCAGCCCACACATCAGACCAACCCATCAGGAAATCTCCAGACCCTCCCGCAGCCACGCTGGACCTGAGTTTAATTCACTCGTGACAAATTCCTTCATTTCTCACCATTTCAGTCGTGACCTCAAAGGAGGAGGAAGAGATCACTTCCTCTTGGCAAAAAAAGAAAAGGCCTGATCAGAGATGAAGAAGGGGAATTTAATACATTGGTGTCGCAGACAAAACAGTCCATCGCTGAGCAGTTTATTGTGCGACACCGCGTACGCAGTCGTAAAAATTTGAGCTTTACACGGACATGCCTTGGGGGGGGGGGGGGGGTACGCTCGTACCTCTGCGTATGGACGTATGTGGCAGTATATTGGGGGCTTAAGAGGGGGACAGTTGAACCCGGAGGCTTCCACCCCCCCTGTTTAACAATGGACGATTTCTTTTCACAAAGATGGCCTCCTTTACTCCTCTCTCAAACCATCGTTCCTCTCTGTCCAGGATGTGAACATCTTCATCCCCGAAAGAGTGACCGCTGGCCTGGAGATGAGTGTAGACCGCAGAGTCCTGGCCTGATGATGTTGATCTTCTGTGCTGGGCCATCCTTTTGGCCAGTGGCTGTTTTGTTTCCCCGATGTAAGACTGATCACAGCCCTCCTGACACTGAACAGAATACACAACATTGCTCTGTTTGTGCCGGGGGACTGGATCTTTGGGATGAACCAGTCTTTGCCATAATGTATTTTGGGGTTTAAAAGCCACTGGGACGTTATGTTTAGAAAATAAATGTCTCAGTTTCTCTGATACTCCCTCAACATATGGAATGACCATTGGTCTGGGTTCCTCTTTTCACCTGATGGCTGACTGGAGTCCTGTTTGGGTTTCTTCTCTGTTTTCAGGAAGGCCCAGTTAGGATATCCACATTGCTCTAGAGCCTGTCTTGTGTGGTATTTCTCCTTCTGCCTGGCTCCTGAGCTAGTGGGGATGCTGTCTGCTCTGTGATACAGAGTCCTGATGACTCCTAACTTGTGCTCCAAAGGGTGATGGGAGTCAAACTGCAAATACTGTTCTGTGTGGGTGGGTTTGTGGTACACCTCAGTTTGCAAATGTCCTCTATCAGAGACTGAGAGCTCATAGTCCAAGAAAGCCAACCTGCCATTTTTTTACATCTTCTCATGTGAACTTGATGTATTTATCCACATAGTTGATGTGGTCAGTACTCTTTTTTTTTTTCTTTCTTTTTCTACCTCCTCCATGTACAGGTTGCAACAATAGGAGATACTGGAGACCCCATAGCACACCCATGTTTCTGCCTATAATATTGCTCCCCATGTGTGAAGTAGGTTGACTGCAGGCTCAGTTTCAAGAGTTGACACAGTTCTGTGGAAAGCGTGGTCCTGCTGCTCAGAGTGGTGTCTGATTTTAATTTTAAACTGACCACCTCTACTGCATCATCAACAGGAATGCACGTAAAGAGTGATGTGACATCAAAAGAGACCATTGTTTCATCATTCTCCATGATGACATCCCTCACCTTGTCCACAAAGTCCATGGTGTTCTGTATGTGGTGTTCTGAGCTGCCAACTAAAGGGATGAGTACAGACGCCAGATATTTGGAAACATTGTAAGTGACAGAGTTAATCATACTAACAATTGGTCTTAAAGGTACACCTTGTTTGTGGATTTTAGGTAAACCATACAGACTAGGTGTGGCCTCCCCTGGGTACAGTCTGTGGTACAGAATACGGTCAATAGCCTTGTCCTGTTCCAAATTTTTCAGGCAATCTATTAACTTCTTCTTGTAACCACTTCCTGGATCTCTTTTCAGAGGTTCATAAGTGTTTAAGTCACTAAGGAGTGTCATAACTTTCTCATGATAGTCTTTCTGGTTCAAAATCACTGTGCACCTTCCTTTGTCTGCTGGGAGAATGATGATGTTTTTGTCCTTGCTAAGAGTGGTGAGTGCATCCCTCTCCTCTCTACTGATGTTGGAAGGTGGTGGTTTGGCATTGCTGAGGCAGGCTGAAACTTTGATTCTGAGCTGTTCTGCTTCACCCTCTTTCATTTGTTGTTACGGATGGCTGACTCTGTGGCTGTGATCATCTCCACCAGAGATTCTCCACCATTCTACTTGGTGCAACCGCAAAGTTCAGTCCCCTGGCAAGAATCTCTGTCTCCAGCTGGGTGAGCTGTCTGTCAGATAAATTCTTCACCCACTTTTCTGTCTCCCTGGCATGTAATTGACTACTGGAGTGGTGTCCTACACTGAATGTGTTATTGGCATTGTGATGGTGTTGATGAGTTATTAGTAATTTAAACTTGTTTTGTTGTCAAGTCTTGGACTTGACATGCTGTGCTAAGCGTGCCTGATCTGTACAGTCCAACACTTGCTGAAGTGTGGTCTGATCTAGACACGTTAGTTTTTGTTTAATGTGCTCTTCTTTGGACTTAAAGGCTGCAATAGTAAAATTGGTCCGTCTCACCCGTTCATTGGGTTCATTGTTGGCATATTAGTTTTATAGACAGGCACCAACTGATCTGAATAAGCATTATTTTCCAAACACAACAAGATAAAATAACAAAGCTCCCTATCTGTTGCTAAAACAGCTTAAGTCAATCATACTTGTACAGCGTATGCAGTCAATGCATATCTGTTGCAGCGCATTTACTGGGGGGGGGATGGACGGCGACGTCCTGAGCTGCGCGGCGCCCAGTTAGTTTTTTTTTGGGGGGGGGGGGGGGGGAGACATGGCTGCGCGCTGTTTGTGCCGCCAATTTTACAGTTTTAAAACAGGTCAGAGTAGAGAGACAGACACATCTCAGCCACACGATGTCTGTACCGACATTTTTATTTTTGGGAGTGGGAGAGACAGACGCACATGAGCCATCCGCTGTTTTTACTGAAAGTTGTTACTGAAAGTTTTCGTTTGTGGGGGGGGGGCATTCAGCGTGAGTGTTCAGTAGGAGGGAAGAGGCTGTCTTTTCTTTTTAGCTAGTGCACCTGCATTGCAAGCTGCTAGTTTAGTGTTACGTCTGTTCCGACAGTTGGTTGGGGGTGGGGTTCGGTAGACGGGGTGCTCGGCTCTGTTGACGGGGTGGTGCACCCTGCTTGTATAATAGTAGGGGAAACACTGTTATCTCCTCTTTGGTCTTCCTCTTTGTCTTTTACCTGGCAGCTGCATTTCTAAGTTCCTTCTGCTGATAGACCCACTGTCCCTCGTCTGGACGTGTCCAAACCATCTCAGTCTGGCTTCTCTAACTTTATCGGAGTTTGTGAGTGTTACAAGCTGCAAAAGGGCAACAATTTAGGGCTGTTTTTTTTTGTTGTTTTGTTTTGGATGCTCCAGATCAAGTGGAAAATTGACTTGTTAAACAACTGCTGGTAAGGTAAACACAAGAGGCTGTGGTAATGTTTTTTTCAGGACACCATTCCAGGACTGGATTTATAAGAAACTATCATCAAGACTGTCACATTTCAGTAGCTATGGTACTTTGGTTAAACATATTTTGGCAAAATACGTGGAACTATTTGGTAGATCGTTTTTGAAGTTTTGTTTAAATCTAGATGGTGAAGCACAGTGCATTTTGCGCAAAGGTGTGTATCAAAAGATGTGTTCGATGTTGTGTGTTCAGTTTACAACTCTGGAGCCTGAGGTGGTGAATATGAAGATTTGCAACAAAAAAAAAGGCCACCTAATTTAAAGTTGGATGGTTTTAAGTAGGGATGGGGTCAATCCGATCCAGTATCGGAGGCCGATACCAACATAATTTACGTATCGGATTTTCCGATCCTCCTGCCGATATTTCCGATCCATGATGCAAGTTTGCTTCATACTACGGAATGGATTTCCTGAACGGCGGCGTGTCTCATGAGCCCAGAGTAATAAGACCCGCCTCACATTCAGGAAATCCAGTTCATAGTTTGCAGCCAGCTACAACGTGAGGGCTGAGTTAGCAGCACTGTGGCTAACAGCTAACAAACTTTTCCATCTAAACATGTCCGTTGTCTGGAAGTATTTTACACTAAAACCACCACAAAGCAATGCAGCAACGTGCAATGTCTGCAGAGCCATAGCGCCACATTAAACCACGGTAAAGTTAGTTTTACGATGGACATTCGAGCTCCGTGGCTTCAGCGGGGCGCTGCTCTTTGCTCAACCCGGGGCGGCCAACTCGACCCCTGTCAGCCGCGTCCAATCTGCCCCGCTCAGTCTGCCTGTCTCTGAGGAGGGACAGACTTGAGCGTGGCTGCCCCAAATCAGGCTGCCTGCTTTGGATTGAACAAGAAGAAGACGTCGCTGAAACCACGGAGCTCAAATGTTTACAGAGAAGTTGCTAAACTTCATCATAATTAATGACCAACCACTATCAGTTGTAGAAAACGAAGGATTTCACAGTTTTATACTTGCAGCTAAGATATAGTTTAACCTCCAGAGATATTTATCAGTACAACAGTAGACAATCATAAAAAACATTATTTGAAAATTATATATATTAAAAACAAAAATGGCTACATTATAAAGTGATGTAAAATACTAAAAATAGGAACATGCCTCTTGGTTTATGTCATTAACGTAGCAGATGTTTGAAGCCATTTAACATTTTATTTAATTCATTTATTCATTCATTTAAAAGAAACAATTTTAAAAAAACATCAAAAAGAAAACATGAATGAAAAGAGTGCAGAAAGAAGAAAAAAAATTCTTATATCTGCCCCTTATTAAAAAAATATAAAATAACTTTAAACAATCACTTAAATTAATCACTTTAATATCCACTTTAAAGCTAGGTATTAAAAAAAAAAAACATGTTTTGTGTTAGAATTTAATTCTAGCTTTAAAACTTATCCATCATTAATACAACTTACCTCAAGTTGCCTTTTTGGACATGTATGCATATATTTGTACAAATTTTACCTGAGAGGAAATTATTACAGCTTCATATAAAATCAATGATGATCATGATATCGGAATTGGATCGGTATCGGACGATATTCATACTTAGGGATCGGAAGTAAAAAAAAGTGGATCGGTGCATCCCTATTTTTAAGTAAGTAAGTACTAAGTAAACTTGTTTTATATAGCACCTTTCCTAGATAATATCACCAAGTGCTTTACAGAAATACAGAATGCAGGCTTTAAAAAAAACACAGTAAGAACAGCTGATGAAAACTTTATAAGTAAAACATTAAACTAAACGATGGAATAAAAATGTCTTGACGCTGCTTTTTAAAGGAATCAACAAAGACAAATCACTCAAAAAGACAGGGACAGTGCATTCTACGGCCTGAAATGATAGAGCAACCTGAAGCCCCCAGTATACTGCCGCGTACAACTATACGCAGAGGTACGCACGTACGTACGCAGAGGTACGTGCGTACCCCCCAGGGCATGTCTGTTCAAAGCTCAAATTTTTATGACCGCATATGCGTACGCACAATAAACTACACGGTGACAAACTGTTTTGTATGCGACACCAATGTATTAAATTCCCCTTCTTCATCTCTGATCTGGCCTTTTCTTTTGTTTTTTTGCCAAGAGGCAAGTGATGTCTTCCTCCTTCGTTGATGCCATGACGGAAATTGTGAGAAATGAAGGAATTTCATGAGCGAATTAAACTCAGGTCCAGCTTGGCTGCGGGAGGTTCTGGAGATTTCCTGGTGGGCTGGTCTGATGTGTGGGCTGTAGAGCCAGCGCTCCCTGTTTTTTATTTTATTTTATCTTTTTATTAACAACATAAACACAGAACACCAGTGAGGCTGCCAGCGCTCGCTTTTTTTATTTTTTCCAACCTGTCAATCAATCCAGTAGGCGTGTCAGCAAATGACCAATCAGTGACCTCAATTTGTCCCGAAGGTAAACGCCCCTTATCTGTGAAGCTGCTCGGGGTGTCTGCTGGAGTTTAATGACTGAACCCTCTGTGTTCACGCGTACGTACGCGGCAGTATACTTGAGCCTTGAGTTTTAAACCATGTCTTTAGGACCTTTAGGAGGTTCAGCACTACAGCCCGTATACCTAAGGATACGGGCTGTAGAATAAATCAACATTTCAGTGATGTATTGGGGTCCTGTTCATTTAAAGCTCTAAAAGTCAAGACTGAAATTTTTTTAATTCTAAATTCAACAGATAACTAATGTAGAGAAGATCAAACTGGAGTAATGTGTGACCTAGTAGTTACTGTTAAAAGCCTTGCAGCAGCGTTCTAAACCAACTGGAGTCGAGCGACAGCAGATTTGTTAAAACACGCAAAAAGGGAATTACAAAAATCTTCACGAGAAGAAATAAAAGCATAAATAAAGATCTCCAGGTCAGATTTGCATAACATTTGCCCTCAATTTAGAAATATTTCTCGGATGATAAAAGCAATTTTTTACCAAAAGTCTTGAATGTTTGTCCAAAGACAAACTGGTCAAACAGAACACCAAGGTTTCTGAGGCTTGTCTGAGTTGATAAGCCCAGAGAACCGAGGTGTTGCTTGATCCAAGGAACTTTCTGTTCAGGAGTAATGATCAGGGTTTCAGTCTTCCTAGAATTTAACTGAAGGCAGTTGTTAGCTAGCCATGCCTTAATATGGGAAATTTAGTAATTCAGCTAACTTGTGTAATTCTGAGTCACAGAACGAACAATACAGTTGAATTTGATCAACACTGGTAAGACACATTTTTGAAGCTACTGATAATCTTTACAAGGGGGTTAATGCATAAAAGGAACAGAATAGGACCTAATATTGTACCCTGATGGACACCATACAATAAATGAATAATTTTGGACTATGTTATTCGCAAACATGGGAAAGGGTCTGTTGCTCAAATGGGAATTAAACCATTTATGAACAGTTCCAGGAATTCCAAACTCATTTTGCAGTCTATGTTGCAGAATATTGTGGTTGATTGTGTCAAAAGCTGATGATAGATCCAATAAAATGAGTACACTGCACTGACCAAAGTCTGCAGACATCAGTATGTTACAGGCAGTTTCAGTTGAGTGCATTTTGCGAAAATCAGACTGAAATTTATCCAGAATATTACTGTGCAGGTGCAATTTTAAAGGTGCTTTTAGTAAGAATTTAAAATGTTCCTGCTTTGTTAGATTATTCATAGCTGTTTAGATTTTTGTGTTACGCTGGAATGGTGGGAAATTGTTGCAGAGCAAGTGAGGCTCTGTGGGCAGTAATATTATTCTTTACCCCTTTGTCTACAGGTGGAGTTGTTTGTGCCTCAACATGGAAGTCGTCATCCGTTTACAGGGACTAAGTGGCATGGCAGATTCTGGGGATGTTCGCAGGTTCTTCACTGGCCTCCATATCCCAGACGGAGGCGTGCATATAATTGGTGGGAAACGAGAAGAAGCTTTCATTATCTTTGCTTCAGATGAAGATGCGAGAAGAGCCATGACACGGTCAGGGGGATGCATCATGGATTCACCGGTAACCTTGCTACTGAGCAGCAAAACAGAGATGCAGAAACTTCTTGAAAGAACGGCCCAACATGTTGAGCTGGATCAAAAGAACGTATTTGATGATGATGTTGGACGTGCACAAAGATATGTGTACCCAGAGGTGGGCCCAGGATCCAGTGGCCAATCAGGTTATAGTCCTGACTCCCAGCATCAGAGGCCTTCACAAAATGAAGAGTTCTATGGTGTATTTCTTAAAGGTCTGCCATTTATGGTGACTGAGGATCACATTCGTAAATTTTTTTCTGGTCTAACCATAGATAAAATTCTGCTGTTAAAACACCCGGATGGACGATTGAATGGAATTGGCTATGTTACATTTGCAACAAGGCAGGATGTAGGCCAGGCCTTAAGGAGGGATGGGCAATACATTGGAACAAGGTACATTGATGTTAGGAGAACATATTCCCATGACTGGTTTAATGCTGTGGCGAAAATGCGAATGCTTGGATTCATGTCTGAGGACGTCGACAGAACGAGGAGCAACAAAACTGACCACCTTCAAATGTGGAGATCACCTGGTTTCAGCCGGACAAATCCACAACGCGATAGGTCACGGTCACCTGTGGCCCAGAGGAATAACTCTCCATCTACCGGTAATAAAGAATACTGTGTGATGTTGGAGAATCTGTCTTTTTCAGCAGAAGTGGAACATGTAAAACTGCTTTTTCCTGACGCAAAACTCAAAAATGACCAGATCCTGTTCTTAACAGACAAGTATGGACAAAGAACTAGATCTGCATTAGTACTCTTCAGGAGCCGCCAAGATGTTAGCGAAGCCTTAAGTCCTGAGAGTAAACGGTTATGGCATCAAAGCATATCTGCACGTCCCATCTCAAAAGACGACATGGTCAAGCTTATGGGTTCTCAAAATGAGAACGTCAGACCTTCTGGAAATTTGGAAAGGTCTGAATACCAGGAAGGACCTTCTTCTTACCCCAGGAACTCATATGACACCGAGAGATCATGTGTGTTCGTGAGGTACCTCCCATTTGATGTGAGGAAAGTCGAGATCCTCAGCTTTTTCCGTGGGTTTAATGTCACAGAGGACAAAGTTCATGTTCTGCATGACCACAGTGGTGCAAAGGTTGGACAGGCTTTGGTTGTTTTTGGGTCTGAGGCAGAGGCTATGGAGACACTCCGTCTCAATGGACGTCAGTTTCTTGGTTGTGAAGTGATGATGAATTGTATCACACGTTCTCAGATGAAACAGTTGGTTGATGAGACACTTAAGGGGAGTGAACCAATGCCAAGAGAGGAGCAGTACTCAGGGAGGAGCAGCGAGGCGTCTTTTCCACCTGATAACTCTTCTTACCCTGATGCAAGCATTGCTCGAGATGGTAATATGCCAATGGCTAATACGGGGGATCGCTTCCATGGAGGTTCCAACAATGAACCTCGTGCAGTGAGTTCCCATTCTCCACGATACAAGGGCAATGGTGCTGATGACCATTTTGGTCCTCCAGCACAGCATTTGGATAGTCCTACCTGTGTGCAGATGATTAACTTGCCATTCACAATCAAATGTGAAGAAATCTATGATTTCTGCCATGGATACCACGTCATACCTGGATCTGTCTCACTTGAGTATGAACGAGGCGGAGCACCCAAAGGTTCTGCTACTTTGTTATTTGAATCCTATCAGGAGGCTTTAAGTGCAGCTCAGGAACTAAGTGGAAGACCAATAGGTTTGAGAAAAGTCCAGCTGTTCCTTGCTTGAAGGATAAATTTCCTTTCATTGATTTGCCAAGTCGTACTGCTTTAGGGTGTACGTGTACTTATGAATGAAACAAAAATGGTGTAACTACATCTAGTCAGTGTTTGGAGTAGGGATTTATGGTTCTTGTTTTTTATCTTGTTTCATTTAACTTTTTTCCCCTTTATGCATTTTTATTTCCGTAGAGCATTGTGGTAGGCAAAGTAAATCTACTTTTTATTTGTACATGTAACTTTGTATTGTGACGTGTTGAAGGTCACTGGGTTCCCCCATCCTCTAAAAAGGTCTGCAATCGTCCCTTTGTAAAACATCAAGCGTATTCAGACGTCAGGTCCATACGGAGTTGTCGGAAATGACCGTCTGCTCCAGAGCTGCTGCTGCGCCTCAGCTTCGGCATGGGGCAATGTTGGTCCAACCGAGCTGCTAGCATGTGCTCAGACGTCCTGAAACAAGGGTCTGAGGAGAAGAGGAAGCCAATAACCTGTAACGTTAATGGGTTTACCAGACCCATCACTAATAAAATAGATATCTGGATTAGTTTGCATGATTCTGAGCATTATTTTTGTTGAACAAATTGATTCCAGTGAAGCTCGGAGTGTTGCTGCTGTCAACAGAATCACATGATGTGGAGACACAGCTGGTGCCAACGATGGGGAGAGAAAACATTCATGTTAAAATAAAAAGTTCTAAAACCAACAAGCAAAGTAATAAAGAGACACAGGCCAACTGTGAAATAATACATATGTGTGAAGATCTCTCATTTATATGACAGAAAAAGTGAAAAACAAAGTGGTTGTTTTGATGTCCCATCAACAATTCTTCATAAAATGTTAAATCAACTTTAATCAAAAGAAGAAGAAGAAGCCAGAATTGGATCACATTGGATCAATTGCTCGTTCTTAAGATATACTGAAAACAATACTGAAATGCAGGTCTGCACTAAATGAAAACAAAACACTTGCAGACTCAGCTGAATTTAATCTGTATGTAAACTAATATGAATGGTTAATTTAACATTTACCCTATTTTCAGCCACTTTGACTCTTTTTGTAGGTAAACAAATGCATGTAGCAGCTGGCAGCCAGAACCAAAATTGTAAGGACCATAAGCCACATGTAATCTGCTGGCTTCCTTAGATAACTTTTACTGATTGGCTTTTTCATGAATGTGATTGTTTTTGAACAGTGCCCTGAGAAAACTTCATTTGTGACTTGGCACTACAGTATATAAATACACTGAAATTAATGGAATTTTATTTAAACAAAAATATTTTGTTGAGTTTTGTTTCTTTGTATTCAATGTTTTGACTATTTCACACCT